CTAAGAGGTGGGGCCTTACCATCAGCCCCACCAAAACTAAGCACCTGCCTGGATATTTTGTACCATCGGACACTACACCCCCACAACTCCCAATCGGTGATGGGGCAGTTGTGGAGCGAGTAGAGAGTTTCCCATACCTGGGCAGTGTGCTTATGACTGGCTCCATTTTAACAGCAGAGGTCTCACTCCGAATCAGTCGAGCGGCAATATCTTTTCATCGGTTGCGTAACGCTATGTGGAAGCTACCTGGTCTGTCGCTCCGCACTAAGCTTCAGGTCTTCTCGGCCAGTCATTCCCTCCCTTCTCTACGCTTGCGAAACGTGGACCCCCCTAATGGAACATCTTCGCCGGTTAGAAACATTTAGGATGGCCTGCCTACGATCCATCCTGGGTTTAACCAGACTGGATTGTGTGAGGAGCGCACAAATCCTTGAAAGATCTGGGCAGGGTCCCATCGGTGAGCTCCTCCGGCAGGGAAGGCTGCGATGGCTGGGTCATGTAGCCCGCATGCCCAGCCACCGCATACCGAAACAGCTTTTGTTCGGCCGGATTGAGGGGGCTAAGCGGGCGTGGCACGGGCTAGAGAAGAGATGGAGTGATGTGGTACAGGAGGATGTGGAGCTGAGTGGACTTGCCGATGACTGGTACCAGCGGTGTCAAGATCGGCCTCTGTGGAGGAGGCTCGTGAAGGACGCTACTGGGCAGTTGGAGGCAGTCGCCCTCCAACAACAACGGAGGGCGGAGGAGCGACGCTCACAACAACGAGCAGAGCGCCGGGTGGCTAAAGCACAGCAGGTTGGCACAGTCAGTCGACCCGTGGCACCTGGGTCTGCCCCGTGACCTCCTCCTGCACCTAGCCTGGCACAGCAGTCAACCCATGGCACCTGCTGGGTCTGTCACGTGATCTCCTCCTGCACCTAGCCTGGCACAGCAATCAACCCATGGCACCTGCTGGGTCTGTCCCGTGACCTCCTCCTGCACCTAGCCTGGCACAGCAGTCAACCCATGGCACCTGCTGAGTCTGTCCCGTGACCTCTTCCTCCTCCTGCACCTAGCCTGGCACAGCAGTCAACCCATGGCACCTGCTGGATCTGCTCCATAACCTCCTCCTGCACCTAGCCTGGCACAGCAGTACATTGGTGTGAGTGTGTGTGCATGTACGTGTACACTAGTGTGTGTGTGTGTACACTAGTGTGTGTGTGTACACTGTGTGTGTGTGTACACTGTGTGTGTACTATACTTGTGTGTGTACACTGTGTGTGTACTATAGTGTGTGTGTATACATAGTGTGTGTGTACACTAGTGTACTACACTAGTGTACACACACACACGTGCGCTAGAGTGTACAGGTGTGTGTGTGTGTACACTAGTGTATTACACTAGTGTACACACACGTGCGCTAGAGTGTACAGGCGTGTGTGGGTGTGTACACTTGTGTACTACACTAGTGTATAGACACACACACGTGCGCTAGAGTGTACAGGCGTGTGTACACTAGTGTACTACACCAGTGTACACACACACACACGTGCGCTAGAGTGTACAGGCGTGTGTACACTAGTGTACTACACTAGTGTACACACACACGCGTGCGCTAGAGTGCACAGGCGCGTGTGTGTGAGTGTGACTGTTGTAGTATCAATTTGAGAAGGTCACACATCTAAGTTTAACGTCCCACTTCTATAAATATCTCCCACACCGCTTCTCAGCACTCCCTCTACTCCTGCTATCCAGCATTCCTCACTGAGACCCCAAAGCCCACTCACACCCACTGAGACCCTGAGACCTGGGTTCGAGTCCTGGGTCTGGGTGTCTCTCTCTCTCTCTCTCTGTGTCTCTCAGGGGGTTCGTAATGACCGTGTCACAGACACTGAAAGGCTGGGTTCGAGTCCTGGGTCTGGGTGTCTCTCTCTCTCTGTGTGTCTCTCAGGGGGTTCGTGATGGCCGTGTAACAGACACTGAGAGGCTGGGTTCGAGCCCTAGGTCAGGGTGTCTCTCTCTCTCTCTGAGTCTCTCAGGGGGTTCGTGATGGCCGTGTAACAGACAGTGAGAGGCTGGGTTCGAGTTCTGGGTCAGGGTGTGTGTATCTGTGTCTATCAGGGGGTTCGTAATGGCCATGTCGGAGACACTGAGAGGCTGGGTTCGAGCCCTGGGTCTGGGTGTCTCTCTCTCTCTCTGTGTCTATCAGGGGGTTCACGATGACCGTGCAACAGACATTGAGAGGCTGGGTTCGAGCCCTTGGTCTGGGTGTCTCTCTCTTTGATTGAGTCTCTCAGTAAGGTTCAGGGGTACACCTTGAAAAAGCAAGCAAATAGGATTTGTAGGGTACACTTTTTAGAAGCGCATTCATAGGATTTGTAAGGTACACTTTTCAGAAGTATCTTGTAGGATTTGAAGGGTACTTTTTGCAGAAGTATCTTGTAGTGTTTGAAGGGTACACTTTTCAGAAGCGCATTATAGGATTTGTCAGGTACACTTTGCAGAAGTATCTTGTAGTATTTGACGGGTACACTTTGCAGAAGGTCATTACAGGATTTTTGTGGTACACTTTGCAGAAGCGCATTATAGGATTTGTAAGGTACACTTTTCAGAAGGTCATTATAGGATTTGAAGGGTACACTTTTCACAAGTGCATTATAGGATTTGTCAGGTACACTTTTCAGAAGTGCATTATAGGATTTGTAAGGTACACTTTGCAGAAGTATGTAGTATGATTTGATGGGTACATTTTGCAGAAGTGCATTATAGGATTTGTGGGGTACACTTTTCAGAAGCGCGTTTATAGGATTTGTCGGGATACACTTTTGGGAATGCCCAATCCCCCAGCGGTGCCCTGAATAGCCCTGGGTCAGGGTCGCTGACTGTGCCCTTCTGGGACTCTGGATTCGAGTTTCGTCTGGGGGTGGTGGTGGTGGTGGGGGTGGTGGTGGTGGTGGGGGTGGTGGTGGTGGCGGTCTACGCCACACTCTCTCTCTCTCTCTGTACGACTGGCATCTGCACAAGTGGCGTTGGCCAGGATGGTACTTTTCTGTCACCACGTGAAATATTCGAACCACGTGAAATGAAGGGACGTCCTTTTAATTCAACCCAGGTGAGGGGCGGGGGGTTGACTGCTGCTGTGCCAGGCTAGGTGCAGGAGGAGGAGGTCACGGGACAGACCCAGCAGGTGCCATGGGTTGACTGCTGTTGTGCCAGGCTAGGTGCAGGAGGAGGACGTCACGGGACAGACCCAGCAGGTGCCATGGGTTGGCTGCTGCTGTGCCAGGTGGCTGGCTCCTTACACCCTCCGCTGTAAGCCTCAAGGTGCACCTAGCTTGGCATGGCTCGAGTCACAGCTTCCCACTCGGGGCAGGAGACTGCCAAACAGCTGGGAGGGACATTGCTTCTCAGACAAAAGAATGAAGGGGGCGTGGGAGCATGGCGGTGAGGTGTCGGAAGCTGTAAGCCCCAGGCTACTTTGGGCTAGCCTCGCCATCAACCAGAGGCGAGGAATGGTGGTCGTGGTTACTTTTGCCCCCACCGAAGATGAACATCCGTGGAGGGATGCTGGCAAGGACGATGAGTCAGATGCCTTCTATGACCTCCTTTCCCAGGTGCTGGCTAAAGTGGCCCCTCGGGATAGAGTCATCTTGTTGGGTGACTTCAATGCCCGAGTTGGTCACGATGCTGGAACCTGGTCTGGAGTAATTGGAAGGCATGGGCCAGATCAGCTCAATAACAACGGTAGGAGGCTGCTCGAATTTTTGTGCAGCCCATGGGCTTGTGATTACCAACACGCTGTTCCGGCATCGCGCATCCACACAACATCATGGATGCATGCCGGGTGGAGCAGTTGTGGAGAGAGTGGAGAGTTTCCCATACCTGGGCAGTGTGCTCATGACCGGCTCCGGTTTGACAGCAGAGGTCTCACTCCGAATCAGTCGAGCGGCAATATCTTTTCATCGGTTGCGTAACGCTGTGTAGAAGCTACCTGGTCTGTCGCTCCGCACTAAGCTTCAGGTCTTCTCGGCCACGGTCATTCCCTCCCTTCTCTACGCTTGCGAAACGTGGACCCCCCTAATGGAACATCTTCGCCGGTTGGAAACATTTAGGCTGGCCTGCCTACGATCCATCCTGGGTTTAACCAGGCTGGATTGTGTGAGGAGCTCACAAATCCTTGAAAGATCTGGACAAAGTCCCATCGGTGAGCTCCTCCGGCAGGCAAGGCTGCGATGGCTGGGTCATGTAGCCCGCATGCCCAGCCACCGCATGCCCAAACAGCTTTTGTTCGACTGGATCGAGGGGGCTAAACGGGCGCGGCACGGGCTAGAGAAGAGATGGAGTGATGTGGTACAGGAGGACGTGGAGCTGAGTGGACTTGCCGATGACTGGTACCAGCAGTGTCAAGATCGGCCTCTGTGGAGGAGGCTCGTGAAGGACGCTACTGGGCAGTTGGAGGCAGTCGCCCTCCAACAACAACGGAGGGGGGAAGAGCGACGCTCACAACAACGGGTGGCTAAAGCACAGCAGTACAACCCATGGCACCTGCTGGGTCTGTCCCGTGACCTCCTCCTCCTGCACCTAGCCTGGCACAGCAGTCAACCCATGGCACTTGCTGGGTCTGTCACGTGACCTCCCGCCACGTGGTAGCCTCAAAGTGACCCTGGGCCGGGAGGGTGGGCGTGGCTCAAGGTGTAAGGGGGGCGGTGGTTCGGCGTGACGCCTGCGTGGTTCGGCGTGACGCCTGCGTGGCTCGGCGGAGAGTGGGCGTGGCTGGGGGGTAGAGAGGGGGGCGTGTCTCTGTGTCGGGGAGCGTGGCTAGGAGTAACGGGGGGCGTGTCTCTGTGTCGGGGGGGCGTGGCTAAGGTAAAGAAAGGAGGCGTGTTTCTGTGTCGGGGGGCGTGGCTAGGAGTAAAGGAGGGGCGTGTCTCTGTGTCGGGGAGCGTGGCTAGGGTAAAGGAGGGGCGGTGTCTCTGTGTCGGGGGGCGTGGCCAGGGTAAAGGTGGGGCGTGTCTCGGTGTCGGGGGACGTGGTCTCAGGGCCGAGGCTGGGCTATATAAGGGGGCGAGTTTCGCTGTCCAGTTGTCACCTCTTCTGGTCATCATCCACTTGGCTCCTCCTCCCCTTCACAAGGTGAACCCCCACACACACCACACGCACTAAATATATATAATATATTATATATACATAATATACAATATATACATAATATACACATAATATATACAGTATATATACACACACCACACTAAATATATACTATATATACAACTATATATACTATATACATAATATATACAGTATATATACAAACACCACACTAAATATATACACACCACATATATAATATATACTATATACACTATATACTATATATACATAATACACACAACCACACACACTAAATATATAATATATACACTATATATTCATAATATATAATATATACACTATATATACACACACCACACACACTAAATATATATAATATATACACTACTATATACATGGGGAATGACTTTAAAAGTTGTATAATCTCCTGTAGATGTAGATGCCACTGGTTCTTCACGTTCTACAGATGTAGATGCCACTGGTTCTTCAAGTTCTGTAGATGTAGATGCCACTGGCTCTTCACGTTCTGCAGATGTAGATGCCACTGGTTCTTCACGTGCTACAGATGTAGATGGCACTGGTTCTTCACGTTCTGCAGATGTAGATGCCACTGGTTCTGTAGATGTAGATGCCACTGGTTCTTCACATTCTGTAGATGTAGATGCCGCTGGTTCTTCACGTTCTGCAGAAGTAGATGCCACTGGTTGTTCACGTTCTGTAGATGCCACTGGTTCTTCACGTTCTGAAGATGTAGATGCCACTGGTTCTTCACGTTCTGTAGATGTAGATGCCACTGGTTCTTCACGTTCTGAAGATGTAGATGCCACTGGTTCTTCACGTTCTGTAGATGTAGATGCCACTGGTTCTTCACGTTCTGTAGATGCCACTGGTTCTTCACGTTCTGTAGATGTAGATGCCACTGGTTCTTCACGTTGTGTAGATGCCACTGGTTCTTCACGTTCTGTAGATGTAGATGCCACTGGTTCTTCACGTTCTGTAGATGCCACTGGAACTTCACGTTCTGTAGATGTAGATGCCACTGGTTCTTCACGTTCTGTAGATGTAGATGCCACTGGTTCTTCACGTCCTGCAGATGTAGATGCGACTGGTTCTTCACGTTCTGTAGATGCCACTGGTTCTTCACGTTCTGTAGATGTAGATGCCACTGGTTCTTCACGTTCTGCAGATGTAGATGCCACTGGTTCTTCACGTTCTGCAGATGTAGATGCCACTGGTTCTTCACGTTCTGCAGATGTAGATGCCACTGGTTCTTCACGTCCTGCAGATGTAGATGCCACTGGCTCTTCACGTTCTGTAGATGCCACTGGTTATTCACGTTCTGTGGATGTAGATGCCACTGGTTCTTCACGTTCTGCAGATGTAGATGCCACTGGTTCTTCACGTTCTGTAGATGTAGATGCCACTGGTTATTCACGTTCTGCATATGTAGATGCCACTGGTTCTTCACGTTCTGTAGATGCCACTGGTTCTTCACGTTCTGTAGATGTAGATGCCACTGGTTCTTCACGTTCTGTAGATGTAGATGCCACTGGTTCTTCACGTTCTGCAGATGTAGATGCCACTGGTTCTTCACGTTCTGCAGATGTAGATGCCACTGGTTCTTCACGTTCTGTAGATGCCACTGGTGCTTCACGTTCTGTAGATGCCACTGGTTCTTCACGTTCTGTAGATGTAGATGCCACTGGTTCTTCATGTCCTGCAGATGTAGATGCCACTGGTTCTTCACGTTGTGTAGATGCCACTGGTTCTTCACGTTCTGCAGATGTAGATGCCACTGGTTCTTCACGTTCTGCAGATGTAGACGCCACTGGTTCTTCACGTTCTGCAGATGTAGACGCCACTGGTTCTTCACGTTCTGCAGATGTAGATGCCACTGGTTCTTCACGTTCTGCAGATGTAGATGCCACTGGTTCTACACGTTCTACAGATGTAGAGGCCACTGGTTCTTCACGTTCTGCAGATGTAGACGCCACTGGTTCTTCACGTTCTGCAGATGTAGATGCCACTGGTTCTTCACGTTCTGTAGATGTAGATGCCACTGGTTATTCACGTTCTGTAGATGTAGATGCCACTGGCTCTTCACGTTCTACAGATGTATTGTGTGAGTCGGTGAAACTTACCACTCTCAGTCCGAACAGGCAACTGGACGTACGGGGAATGGGTTTTTGTTCACATCTCTTAAACGTTCGTAAGTAGACGAATCCCTGTAGTAGTTTTTTTTATAAACCAGAGTGCGTACGCATCGCCACGGCGCTTTCAGACCCGCCGCGTCTGAAAGGGCCGTCTGGAACGCTCTTCCCTTCCGCTCGATTGACAAACTCATTTCTTGAGAACTTCTGCTTATTGCGGCGTTAAGTGTTATTGCCCTTCCCTTCGCACCTCTGATTAGCCACGGTTGGCTACGTACGGTGCCAAAGACGTTCAACGTACATACGCAGACATGACAGAAGCACACAGAGACGCGTAGACCCGCACAGAGACTCACACAGAGACCCGTAGACTCACACAGAGACCCGTAGACCCACACAGAGACCCGTATACTCACACAGAGACCCGTAGACTCACACAGAGACTCACACAGAGAACCGTAGACTCACACAGAGACCCGTAGACTCGCACAGAGACCCGTAGACCCACACAGAGACCCGTAGACTCACACAGAGACCTGTAGACTCACACAGAGATGTTAAATAATGTGGGAGCCAGAGGACATCCCTGTCGCACCCCAAGGTGTACAGGGAATGGCTCTTACTCCCGGCCACGTAGTTTTACCCGGGCCCGCTCACCATCATGAAGGTCCTTAATGATCGTGAGCAGAGGGTCAGGGACTCCGAAAGCACGAATAGCAACCCAGAGCCCAGGCCTACTGATGGTAGCATAGGCCTTGACCAGGTCAATAAAGCAGAGATGTAGGTCTTGCTGGAATTCCCTACACCTATGCTTTAGCAAGCGGACAGAAAGTATGGCATCTGTGCAGGACCGCCCTTTCCTGAAACCGCATTGGGGCTCCGCAAGCCTCTCCTCAGGTCACACAGTCACACCCTCACACACACACAGACAGACATACAGACACACAGACACACAAAAAGACACACTCACATTCAGTCACACAGAGTCACACGCACTCATCCACTCATACACAGACACACATACACTCACACACGCAGACCCACTGGCACACAGACACACACAGGAACACTCACACACACTCAGACACACAGACCCGCTCACACACAGACACACTCACACACAGACACACACACACAGACACACACATATAGACACACACATACAGACACACTCACACACACAGACACACACACAGAGACACACACACAGACACACACACAGACACACACACACAGACACACACACACAGAAACACACAGACACATACACACAGACACACACAGACACACTCACACACACAGACACACACACAGACACACACAGACACACTCACACACACAGACACTCACACACACAGACACACACACATATAAGACACACACACACACAGACACACTCACACACACAGACACACTCACACACACAGACACACACACACAGACACACACAGACACACTCACACACACAGACACACTCACACACACAGACACACACACATATAAGACACACACATACAGACACACTCACACACAGACACACACAGAGACACACACACAGACACACACACAGACACACACACACACACAGACACACACACTCACACAGACACACACACACAGACACACACAGAGACACACACACAGACACACACACACAGACACACACACTCACACAGACACACACACACAGACACACACAGATACACACACAGACACACACACAGACACACACACACAGACACACACACAGACACACACACACAGACACACACACACAGACACACACAGACACAGACACACAGACACACACACACTCACACAGACACACACACAGACACACACAGACACACACACAGACACACACACAGACACACACACACAGACACAGACACACACACACACAGACACACACACACAGACACACACAGACACACACACAGACACACACACACCCACACAGACACACACACTCACACAGACACACACACACATACATACACACAGACATACACACAGACACACACACAGACACACACACAGACACACACACACAGACACACACAGACACACACACAGACACACACACCCACACAGACACACACACTCACACAGACACACACATACATACACACAGACATACACACAGACACACACACAGACACACACAGACATACACACAGACACACACACAGACACACACACACAGACACACACTCACACACGCGCTGACAGCACGCACGAACTTGTGCCAAGGGCATATGGGGAAGGGGGTGATGATGGTGGTGGTGGTGATGGTGGTGATGGTGGTGGTGGTGATGGTGGTGGTGGTGATGGTGGTGATGGTGGTGGTGGTGATGGTGGTGGTGGTGATGGTGGTGGTGGTGATGGTGGTGGTGGTGATATTGGGTCACGATGTGGGGGGAGGGGCTCCCCCCCCCCCATCTCCGTCTGTGGATGCCAGGGCCAAGCCCATCAATGGGCATCGTCCAGGAATAGCCCCCACCCCCCACCCCCCACCCCCACCCCCCCCACCCCCTCGGGAGGGGCCCCCGGGTGGGTCAGATCAGCCCCGCCCCTCCCACTCACTCGCCACTCCAAATATAAAAACAGCGACAGCTGCCCAGGGGTCATCAGGGGGTCGTGATAGAACCCACGACCTCCTGCGTACCAGGCGAGGTAGTCAACATCTCATCAGGGTCGTGATAGAACCCACGACCTCCTGCGTACCAGGCGAGGTAGTCAACATCTCATCAGGGCCGTGATAGAACCCACGACCTCCTGCGTACCAGGCGATTTAGTCAACATCTCATCGGTGTCGTGATAGAACCCACGACCTCCTGCGTACCAGGCGAGGTAGTCAACATCTCTAGAGAGAGAGACGCAGACTCCAAATACACAGCAGCAGCAACAGCCATCGTCAGGGTCGGGTTTGAACCCACGACCTCCTGTGTACCAGGCGAGGTAGTCAACATCTCATCGGTGTCGTGATAGAACCCACGACCTCCTGTGTACCCGGCGAGGTAGTCAACATCTCATCAGGGTCAGGGTTGAACCCACGACCTCCTGTGTACCAGGCGAGGTAGTCAACATCTCATCAGGGTCGTTTCCCTTTGCAGGTCCCCGAATCAAGGTTCTCTCAGTCATCATGGTCAAGGTCGGAGTCAATGGGTGAGGAACTCCTCGCCTGTGCACTCACTCACCTGTACACTCACCTGTACACTCACCTGTATACACACTCACCTGTCCACTCACTCACCTGTACACTCACCTGTACACACAATCACATGTACACACACCTGTACACACACTCACCTGCACACTCACCTGTACACACACTCACCTGTACACACACACACCTGTGTGCTCACCTGCGTGATGCTCACCTGCCTGCTCACCTGTACACACACTCACCTGTACACACACACACCTGTGTGATGCTCACCTGCGTGATGCTCACCTGTGTGGTGCTCACCTGCGCCAGGTTCGGCCGTATCGGGCGTCTGGTGACACGCGCCGCCATCCTGCGTGGGAACGTGGAGGTGGTCGCCATCAACGACCCCTTCATCGACCTCAACTACATGGTGAGCGTACGCTCACCTGTACACTCACCTGTACACTCACTTGTACACTCACCTGTACACTCACCTGTACACTCGTACGCTCACCTGTACACTCACCTGTACACTCACCTGTACACTCACCTGTACACTCGTACACTCACCTGTACTCTCACCTGTACACTCACTTGTACACTCACCTGTACACTCGTACGCTCACCTGTACACTCACCTGTACACTAACCTGTACACTCGTACACTCACCTGTACTCTCACCTGTACACTCGTACACTCACCTGTACACTCACCTGTACACCCACCCACTCACCTGTACACTCACCTGTACACTCACCTGTACACTCACCCACTCACCTGTACACTCATCTGTACACTCACACACTCACCTGTACAATCACCTGCACACTCACCAGTACACTCACCCACTCACCAGTACACTCAATAGTACACTCACACACTCACCTGTACACTCACCCACTCACCTGTACACTAACCTGTACACTCACACACTCACCTGTACACTCACCTGTACACTCACCTATTCACCTGTAGACTCACCTGTTCACTCACCTGTACACTCACCTGTACACTCACCCACTCACCTGTCCACTCACCTGTAGACTCACCTGTACACTCACCCACTCACCTGTAGACTCACCTGTAGACTCACCTGTACACTCACCTTTACACTCACCTGTACACTCACCTATTCACCTGTAGACTCACCTGTACACTCACCCACAGGTGTACACTCACCTGTACACTCACCTGTAGACTCACCTGTAGACTCACCTACTCACCTGTACACTCACCTGTACACTCACCTGTACACTCACCCACTCACCTGTCCACTAACCTGTAGACTCACCTGTACACTCACTTACAGGTGTACACTCACCTGCATGCTCACCTGTGCACTCACCCACTCACGGGTAGACTCACCTGTAGACTCACCTGTCCACTCACCTGTACACTCACCTACTCACCTGTAGACTCACCTGTGTACTCGCCTGTAGACTCACCTACTCACCTGCACGCTCACCTGTACACTCACCTGTCCACTCACCTGTCCACTCACCTGTAGACTCACCTGTACACTCACTCACTCACCTGTAGACTCACCTGTAGACTCACCTGTAGACTCACCTGTACACTCACCCACTCACCTGTACACTCACCCACTCACCTGTAGACTCACCTGTAGACTCACCTGTAGACTCACCTGTACACTCACCCACTCACCTGTACACTCACCCACTCACCTGTAGACTCACCTGTAGACTCACCTGTAGACTCACCTGTACACTCACCCACTCACCTGTACACTCACCCACTTACCTGTACACTCACCTGTAGACTCACCTGTAGACTCACCTACTCACCTGTAGAGTCACCTGTAGACTCACCTGTACACTCACCTGTACACTCACCCACTCACCTGTACACTCACCTGTACACTCACCTGTACACTCACCCACTCACCTGTACACTCACCTGTACACTCACCCACTCACCTGTACACTCACCTGTACACTCACCTGTACACTCACCTGTAGACTCACCTGTACACTCACCTGTACACTCACCCGCTCACCTGTACACTCACCTGTACACTCACCTGTACACTCACCCACTCACCTGTAGACTCACCTGTTCACTTACCTGTAGACTCACCTGTCACTCACCTGTATACTCACCTGTCCACTCACCTGTCCACTTACCTGTAGACTCACCTGTAGACTCACCTGTAGACTCACCTGTAGACTCACCTGTACACTCACCTGTACACTCACCTGTACACTCACCCACTCACCTGTAGACTCACCTGTAGACTCACCTGTACACTCACCCACTCATCTGTAGACTCACCTGTACACTCACCTGTACACTCACCTGTACACTCACTCACCTGTACACTCACCTGTACACTCACCTGTACACTCACTCACCTGTAGACTCACCCACTCACCTGTAGACTCACCTGTACACTCACTCACCTGTAGACTCACCCACTCACCTGTAGACTCACCTGTACACTCACCCACTCACCTGTACACTCACCTGTCCACTCACCTGTGCACTCACCCACTCACCTGTACACTCACCTACTCACCTGTAGACTCACCTGTGTACTCGCCTGTAGACTCACCTACTCACCTGCACACTCACCTGTACACTCACCTGTCCACTCACCTGTACACTCACCTGTACACTCACCTGTACACTCACTCACCTGTAGACTCACCTGTACACTCACCTGTACACTCACCTTTACACTCACCCACTCACCTGTACACTCAACTGTAGACTCACCTGTAGAGTCACCTGTGTACTCACCTGTACACTCACCTGTATGCTCACCTGTCCACTCACCTGTAGACTCACCTGTACACTCACCTGTACGCTCACCCACAGGTTTACATGTTCAAGTACGACTCCACACACGGGCGCTGGAAGGGAGACGTGAAGGCGGAGGGAGGCAAACTGGTTATTGATGGGCACGCCATCACCATCTTCCAGGAGTGAGTCCAAACATCACCACCATCACCACCACCACCATCATCACCACCAACACCACCATCTTCCAGGAGTGAGTCCAAACATCACCACCACCATCACCACCATCATCACCACCAACATCACCATCTTCCAGGAGTGAGTCCAAACACCATCACCACCATCACCACCATAACCACCAACACCACCATCTTCCAGGAGTGAGTCCAAACATCACCACCACCATCACCACCACCATCACCAACACCATCACCACCACCAACACCACCATCTTCCAGGAGTGAGTCCAAACATCACCACCAACATCACCACCATCACCATCACCATCTTCCAGGAGTGAGTCCAAACATCACCACCACCATCACCACCATCACCATCTTCCAGGAGTGAGTCCAAACATCACCACCAACATCACCACCATCACCATCTTCCAGGAGTGAGTCCAAACACCACCATCACCATCATCATCACCATCTTCCAGGAGTGAGTCCAAACATCACCACCACCACCAACACCACCACCATCACCATCACCACCAACACCATCACCATCTTCCAGGAGTGAGTCCAAACATCACCACCACCACCAACACCACCACCATCACCATCACCACCAACACCATCACCATCTTCCAGGAGTGAGTCCAAACATCACCACCAACACCACCATCACCATCATCACCAACACCATCACCACCACCATCATCACCATCTTCCAGGAGTGAGTCCAAACATCACCACCATCACCACCACCACCATCACCACCAACACCACCATCTTCCAGGAGTGAGTCCAAACATCACCACCATCACCACCATCACCACCACCATCTTCCAGGAGTGAGTCCAAACATCACCACCATCACCATCACCACCATCACCACCATCATCACCACCAACACCACCACCACCAACACCACCATCTTCCAGGAGTGAGTCCAAACATCACCACCATCACCACCATCACCACCATCACCACCAACACCACTATCATCACCACCAACACCACCATCTTCCAGGAGTGAGTCCAAACATCACCACCATCACCACCATCATCATCACCACCAACACCAACACCACCATCACCACCAACACCACCAACACCACCATCACCACCAACACCACCATCTTCCAGGAGTGAGTCCAAACATCACCACCATCACCACCATCACCACCAACACCAACACCACCATCACCACCAACACCACCATCACCACCAACACCACCATCTTCCAGGAGTGAGTCCAAACATCACCACCATCACCACCAACACCACCATCACCACCAACACCACCATCTTCCAGGAGTGAGTCCAAACATCACCACCATCACCACCACCATCACCACCACCATCACCACCAACATCACCATCTTCCAGGAGTGAGACCAAACATCACCACCATCACCACCAACACCACCATCACCATCACCACCAACACCACCATCTTCCAGGAGTGAGTCCAAACATCACCACCATCACCACCACCATCATCACCACCATCACCACCATCATCACCACCACCATCACCACCACCATCACCACCAACATCACCATCTTCCAGGAGTGAGTCCAAACATCACCACCATCACCACCAACACCACCATCACCACCAACACCACCATCTTCCAGGAGTGAGTCCAAACATCACCACCATCACCACCACCATCACCACCACCATCACCACCAACATCACCATCTTCCAGGAGTGAGACCAAACATCACCACCATCACCACCAACACCACCATCACCATCACCACCAACACCACCATCTTCCAGGAGTGAGTCCAAACATCACCACCATCACCACCACCATCATCACCACCATCACCACCATCATCACCACCACCATCACCACCATCATCACCACCATCACCACCAACACCACCATCACCACCAACACCAACACCACCATCACCACCAACACCACCAACACCACCATCACCACCAACACCACCATCACCACCAACACCACCATCTTCCAGGAGTGAGTCCAAACATCACCACCATCACCACCACCATCACCACCATCACCACCAACACCACTATCATCACCATCACAACCAACACCACCATCTTCCAGGAGTGAGTCCAAACATCACCACCATCACCACCACCACCACCATCACCACCAACACCACCATCTTCCAGGAGTGAGTCCAAACATCACCACCATCACCACCATCACCACCAACACCACCACCATCTTCCAGGAGTGAGTCCAAACATCACCACCATCACCACCACCAACACCACCATCACCACCAACACCACCATCTTCCAGGAGTGAGTCCAAACATCACCACCACCATCACCACCATCACCACCAACACCACCATCTTCCAGGAGTGAGTCCAAACATCACCACCATCACCACCACCATCACCACCATCACCACCACCATCACCATCACCACCAACACCACCATCACCACCAACACCACCATCTTCCAGGAGTGAGTCCAAACATCACCACCATCACCACCATCATCACCACCACCATCACCACCAACACCACCATCTTCCAGGAGTGAGTCCAAACATCACCACCATCACCACCACCAACACCACCATCACCACCAACACCACCATCTTCCAGGAGTGAGTCCAAACATCACCACCACCATCACCACCATCACCACCAACACCACCATCTTCCAGGAGTGAGTCCAAACATCACCACCATCACCACCACCATCACCACCATCACCACCACCATCACCATCACCACCAACACCACCATCACCACCAACACCACCATCTTCCAGGAGTGAGTCCAAACATCACCACCATCACCACCATCATCACCACCACCATCACCACCAACACCACCATCTTCCAGGAGTGAGTCCAAACATCATCACCACCACCATCACCACCATCACCACCAACACCACTATCACCACCATCACCAACACCACCATTACCACCACCATCACCACCATCACCACCAACACCACCATCATCATCATTATCACCAGCACCATCATCACCACCACTATGTGTGTGACTGTCTGTGTGTGACTATCTGTGTGTGACTGTCTGTGTGTGTCTGTGTGTGTGTGACTGTCTGTGTGTGTGACTGTGTGTGTCTGTGTGTGTGTGACTGTGTGTGACTGTGTGACTGTGTGTGACTGTGTGTGTGTGTCTGTGTGTGTGTGTGACTGTGTTTGTGTGTGTCTGTGTGTGTGTGTGACTGTGTGTGTGTGTGTGACTGTGTGTGTGTGTGTGACTGTGTGTGTGTGTGTCTGTGTGTGTGACTGTGTGTGTGTGTCTGTGTGTGTGTGACTGTCTGTGTGTGTGTGTGACTGTCTGTGTGTGTGACTGTGTGTGCCTGTGTGTGTGACTGTGTGTGTCTGTGTGTGACTGTCTGTGTGTGTCTATGTGTGTGACTGTCTGTGTGTGTGACTGTGTGTGACTGTGTGTGTCTGTGTGTGTGACTGTGTGTGACTGTGTGTGTGTGTAGACGTGACCCGAGTAACATCAAGTGGGGCGAGGCTGGTGCCACGTACGTGGTGGAGTCCACCGGAGTGTTCACCACCGTGGAGAAGGCATCGGTACGGCGGGCGGGGGGTGGTGGCGGTGGTGGTGATGGTGGTGGTGATGATGGTGGTGGTGATGGTGGTGGTGATGGTGGTGATGGTGGTGGTGATGGTGGCGGTGGTGGTGATGATGGTGATGATGGTGATGGTGGTGATGGTGGTGATGATGGTGATGATGATGGTGATGATAGTAGTGGTGTTGATGGTGGTGATGACGGTAGTGGTGATGGTAGTGGTGATGATGGTGGTTTTGGTGGTGGTTTTGGTGGTGATGGTGGTGGTGGTGATGGTGGTGATGGTGGTGGTGATGGTGGGGGTGGTGATGGTGGTGGTGGTGGTGATGGTGGTGGTGATGGTGGGGGTGGTGATGGTGATGGTGGTGGAGGAGGTGGTGGTGGTGGTGGTGCTGGTAATGATGACGATGTTGATGTTGATGTTGTTGTTGTTGTTGACGTTGTGTAGACTCACCTGAAGGGCGGTGCTAAGAAAGTGATCATCTCGGCTCCATCGGCTGACGCGCCAATGTTCGTGGTGGGAGTCAATCACCAGAAGTACGACCCAGCCGTGAACGTCGTCAGGTGACGATCACCATCATCACCATCATCATCATCACCATCATCACCACCATCATCATCACCATCATCATTGTCATCATCATCATCACCATCATCATCACCATCATCACCATCATCATCACCATCACCATCATCACCATCATCACCATCACCATCATCACCATCATCATCATCACCATCATCATCATCACCACCATCATCACCATCATCACCATCATCACCATCATCACCACCATCATCATCATCACCATCATCACCACCATCATCATCACCATCATCATTATCATCATCATCACCATCATCACCATCATCATCATCACCATCACCATCATCATCATCACTACCATCATCACTACCATCATCACCATCACCACTACCATCATCACCATCAACAACCACCACCATCACCATCATCATCACTACCATCACCATCATCACTACCATCATCACCATCAACCACCATCATCATCATCACTATCAACCACCACCATCACCACCATCATCACCACCATCATCACCATCATCACCACCATCATCATTTTCATCATCATGGGCTTGGCATCGTCCCCCACTCCTCCTGATGTCGAGGGTAAATGGGCGAGGTTTAGGACTGTGACTCATGCAGCTGCAATGGCTGCTTTGGGTACGCGGTCCAGACCTCCCCAGAGACCCTGGCTGACAGAGGAGGTGTTCAGGATGGTTGAGAAAAAGCGACAGGCCCACTCTCATCGGCTACAGCATCCCACGACAGAGAATGAGGAGGCTTACCGCAGCCTTCGCTCGGAGGTTCGGAGATCCGTGAGGCGCTGCAAGGATGGGTGGTGGTCGCGGGTTGCTGAGGAGATGGAGTCTGCCACAATAGCCCACGATCACAAATCCCTATTTAACTCCATCCAAAAAGTAACCTGCAGCACCACACCTATTACCATCATTAGGGGAAAAAAACGGTGATCCAATCTCTGACCCCCAGGAACAGGTTTGCAGATTTGCTGAGCATTTCTGTGAAGTCCTGGGGGAGGGAAAATCCGTCAGCCAGGAAAACATCATGGCACAAAGTGAGGATGACCCTGCTGAGGCTGCGGTGCCTCAAATATTGGAGGAAGAAGTCACCCCCTGTGAGTGGCTGGCTGAGGTGCCATCTGTTGAGGAAGTACTGAAGGCGATTCGGAGTCTGAGACCAGGAAAGGCACCAGGCAGAGATGATCTCCCAAGCGAAATGCTGAGGAAGGGTGGCGTTTGTGCACAGACTGCCCTACATAACATCATAACAACAGTCTGGAACACTGGACGGGTTCCGCAGAACTGGAAGGATGCCCTGGTGGTCCCCCTCTTTAAGAAGGGGGACCGCACAGACTGTAACAACTACAGGGGCATCTCACTCCTCAGTGTGCCGGGAAAGGTCCTGGCAAGGGTTATTCAACATCGCCTTGCCAGGCACGCTGAGGAGAGGCTTGCGGAGCCCCAATATGGTTTCAGGAAAGGGCGGTCCTGCACAGATGCCATATTTTCTGTCCATTTGCTACAGCAGAGGTGTAGAAAATTCCAACAAGACCTACATCTCTGCTTTATTGACCTGGTCAAGGCCTTATGATACCATCAGTAGGCCTGGGCTCTGGGTTGTTCTTCGTGCTTTCGGAGTCCCTGACCCTCTGCTCACGATCAATAAGGACCTTCATGATGGTGAGTGGGCCCAGGTAAAACTACGTGGCCGGGAATTGGAGCCATTCCCTGTTCACCTTGGGGTGCGACAGGGATGTCCTCTGGCTCCCACATTATTTAACAAGGGATGGCTCCCAATTGGTCAACCACGTTATGTATGCCGATAATTTGGTAATCGCTGCTCACTCAGAGGAGGAGTTGGAGGCGCTGCTGCTGAAAATGGAGCGAGCCACTAAGAGGTGGGGCCTTACCATCAGCCCCACCAAAACTAAGCACCTGCCTGGGAATTTTGTACCATCGGGCGCTCCACCCCCACAACTCCCAATCGGTGATGGGGCAGTTGTGGAGAGAGTGGAGAGTTTCCCATACCTGGACAGTGTGCTTATGACTGGCTCCGGTTTGACAGCAGAAGTCTCAACCAGAATCAGTCGAGCGGCATTATCTTTTCATCGGTTGCGTAACGCTGTGTGGAAGCTACCTGGTCTGTCGCTCCGCACTAAGCTTCAGGTCTTCTCGGCCACGGTCATTCCCTCCCTTCTCTACGCTTGCGAAACGTGGACCCCCCTAATGGAACATCTTCGCCGATTGGAAACAATTAGGCTGGCCTGCCTACGATCCATCCTGGGTTTAACCAGGCTGGATTGTGTGAGGAGCTCACAAATCCTTGAAAGATCTGGGCAAGGTCCCATCGGTGAGCTCCTCCAGCAGGCAAGGCTGCGATGGCTGGGTCATGTAGCCCGCATGCCCAGCCACCGCATGCCGAAACAGCTTTTGTTCGGCCGGATTGAGGGGGCTAAACGGGCGCGGCACGGGCTAGAGAAGAGATGGAGTGATGTGGTACAGGAGGACGTGGAGCTGAGTGGACTTGCCGATGACTGGTACCAGCGGTGTCAAGATCGGCCTCTGTCGATGAGGCTCGTGAAGGACGCTACTGGGCAGTTGGAGGCAGTCGCCCTCCAACAACAACTGAGGGCGGAGGAGCGACGCTCACAACAACGAGCGGAGCGCCGGGTGGCTAAAGCACAGCAGGTTAGCACAGTAGGGGGTACAGGTGATGCATCAGCCAGTCATCTCAGTCATCTCAGTCAGTCGACCCGTGGCACCTGGGTCTGCCCCGTGACCTCCTGCCCGCGGGCGTTCGACACTCCACGTGGCCTCAGGGTGCACATGGCCTGGCACAAGCGTCGTTTTGACATCACCGCCACTTAGTGGCGAATGGCGGTTGTTGTTGTGTGTACGTGTGTGTGTGTACGTGTGTGTGTACGTGTGTACGTGTGTGTACGTGTGTGTATGTGTGTGTGTACGTGTGTATGTGTGTGTATGTGTGTGTGTATGTGTGTACGTGTGTGTGTGTTTGTGTTACGGGAGGGAGCCCCTATCTCGACCTTTATTTAACGATGTCATATTTGGATCTCCCCACCCCCCCACTCACCCCCCACTCACCCCCCCACTCACCCCCCCACTCACCCCCCCACTCACCCCCCCCACCACCCCCCACTCACCCCCCTCCCACTCACCCCCCCCACTCACCCCCCCACTCACCCCCCACAGCAACGCTTCCTGCACCACCAACTGCCTGGCCCCGCTCGCCAAAGTCATCAACGACAACTTCGTCATCCTGGAGGGGCTCATGGTGAGACACAGCAGCACATACAGCATACACACAGTACACACACACAGTACACACACAGCATACACACAGCACACAGCATACACAGCATACACACAGTACACACACACAGTACACACACAGCATACACACAGCACACAGCATACACAGCATACACACACAGCATACAGCATACACACAGCACACACACAGCATACACACAGCATACACACACAGCATACACACAGTACACACACACAGTACACACAGCACACACTCGCCCAGCCACGTGCTACGGACACTCCCACTAACTGCCCCCCCCCTCTCCTCCTCCTCCTCCTTGTCCCACTTCCACCCCCACCCCTCCCCCCCCAACTACTCCCCCCCAACTACCCCCACCCCTCTCCCCCCCCTCCATCTCCCCCTCCCCTCCATCTCCCCTCCCCCTCCACGACAGACCACGGTGCACGCCTACACGGCCACCCAGAAGACAGTGGACGGCCCCTCGGGCAAACTTTGGCGTGACGGGCGCGGCGCTCACCAGAACATCATCCCGGCCTCCACCGGGGCCGCCAAGGCCGTCGGCAAGGTCATCCCTGAGCTCAACGGGTGAGAGGCGGCCACCGTGAACCCACCCACACGGTCACCGTGAACCCACCCACCCACACGGCCACCGTGAACCCACCCACCCACACGGTCACCGTGAACCCACCCACCCACCCACACGGCCACCGTGAACCCACCCACCCACACGGCCATCGTGAACCCCACGCACTCACACAGCCATCGTGAACCCACCCACCCACCCACACGGCCACCGTGAACCCCACCCACCCACCCACACAGCCACCGTGAACCCACCCACACAGCCACACGGCCACCGTGAACCCACCCACCCACCCACACCAGAACATCATCCCGGCCTCCACCGGGGCCGCCAAGGCCGTCGGCAAGGTCATCCCTGAGCTCAACGGGTGAGAGGCGGCCGCCGTGAACCCACCCACACGGTCACCGTGAACCCACCCACCCACCCACACGGTCATCGTGAACCCACCCACACGGCCATCGTGAACCCCACCCACCCACACGGCCACCGTGAACCCACCCACACGGTCACCGTGAACCCACCCACCCACCCACACAGCCACCGTGAACCCCACCCACCCACACGGCCACCGTGAACCCACCCACCCACACAGCCACCGTGAACCCCACCCACCCACACAGCCACCGTGAACCCACCCACACAGCCACCGTGAACCCCACCCACCCACACTGCCACCGTGAACCCCACCCACCCACACAGCCACCGTGAACCCCACCCACCCACACGGCCACCGTGAACCCCACCCACCCACACGGCCACCGTGAACCCCACCCACCCACACGGCCACCGTGAACCCCACCCACCCACCCACATGGCCACCGTGAACCCCACACAGCCACACGGCCACCGTGAACCCACCCACCCACACGGCCATCGTGAACCCCACCGTGAACCCCACCGTGAACCCCACCCACCCACACGGCCACCGTGAACCCCACCGTGAACCCTACCCACCCACAGGGCCACCGTGAACCCCACCCACACTCAGACCCAGGGATCGTACCCAGGTTCTCAGCGTCGTTTTTCCATTGCCACAAAACCATGCCGTACCCGAGCCAGCCAGGGTGGTGAACTACCTATGACCTCACTGCCCATCCCACCCATCTCCGCCTGGACACGCCCCCCTCTCCTCCCGCCCCTCCCCCCTCTTCCACTGGCCACGCCCCTTCTCAACCTGGCCCCCGCCCCCTTTCCCACTGCCCCTTCTCCCCCCTGACCACGCCCCCTCTCCTCCCGCCCCTCCCCCTCTTCCACTGGCCACGCCCCTTCTCAACCTGGCCCCGGCCCCCTTTCCCACTGCCCCTTCTCCCCCCTGACCACGCCCCCTCTCCTCCCGCCCCTCCCCCTCTTCAACTGGCCACGCCCCTTCTCAACCTGGCCCCGCCCCCCTCTCCCACTGCCCCTTCTCCCCCCTGACCACGCCCCCTCTCCTCCCGCCCCTCCTCCCTCTCCCACTGGCCACGCCTCTTCTCAACCTTGCCCCGCCCCCTCTCCCCATGCAGAAAGATCACGGGAATGGCGTTCCGCGTGCCGACGCCCAACGTTTCGGTTGTGGACCTCACCGTGCGCCTGGAGAAGCCGGTGAGTGAGAGGGCCACAGACAAAGCGGACCCGGGTAGCTCACGAGGAGGGGGTGGGGTGGTGGTGGTGGTGAACACAGCCATGGTGAACCCGTGCCTGTGGTGAACCCGTGCCTGTGGTGAACCCATGCCTGTGGTGAACCGGTGCCTGTGGTGTGTCCATGCCATGGTGAACCCGTGCCTGTGGTAAACCCGTGCCGTGGTGAACCCGTGCCTGTGGTGAACCCGTGCCTGTGGTGTGTCCATGCCATGGTGAACCCGTGCCTGTGGTGAACCCGTGCCTGTGGTGAACCCGTGCCCACAGTGAACCCGTGCCGTGGTGAACCCGTGCCCGTGGTGAACCCGTGCCTGTGGTGAACCCGTGCCTGTGGTGAACCCGTGCCTGTGGTGTGTCCATGCCATGGTGAACCCGTGCCTGTGGTGAACCCGTGCCTGTGGTGAACCCGTGCCCACAGTGAACCCGTGCCGTGGTGAACCCGTGCCCGTGGTGAACCCGTGCCTGTGGTGAACCCGTGCCCGTGGTGAACCCGTGCCGTGGTGAACCCGTGCCCGTGGTGAACCCGTGCCCGTGGTGAACCCGTGCCCGTGGTGTGTCCATGCCATGGTGAACCCGTGCCGTGGTGAACCCGTGCCGTGGTGAACCCGTGCCTGTGGTGTGTCCATGCCGTGGTGAAGCCGTGCCGTGGTGAACCCGTGCCCGTAGTGTGTCCATGTCATGGTGAACCCGTGCCGTGGTGAACCCGTGCCGTGGTGAACCCGTGCCCATGGTGAACCCGTGCCGTGGTGAACCCGTGCCCATGATAAACCCGTGCCCGTGGTGAACCCGTGCCCGTGGTGAACCCGTGCCTGTGGTGTGTCCATGCCATAATAAACCCGTGCCCATGATGAACCCGTGCCGTGGTGAACCCGTGCCGTGGTGAACCCGTGCCTGTGGTGTGTCCATGTCATGGTGAACCCGTGCCCATGGTGAACCCGTGCTGTGGTGAACCCGTGCCGTGGTGAACCCGTGCCTGTGGTGAACCCGTGCCGTGGTGAACCCGTGCCATGGTGAACCCGTGCCTGAGGTGTGTCCATGCCATGGTGAACCCGTGCCCATAGTAAACCCGTGCCCGTGGTGAACCCGTGTCCGTAGTGTGTCCATGTCATGGTGAACCCGTGCCCATAGTAAACCCGTGCCCGTGGTGAACCCGTGCCCGTGGTGTGCAGGCCACCTACGATGCCATCAAGGCCAAAGTGAAGGAGGCTGCCAACGGACCAATGAAGGGAATCCTGGGCTACACGGAGGACCAGGTGGGGGTGATGGTGGTGATGGTGGTGGTGGTGATGATGGTGCTGATGGTGGTGATGATAGTGGTGATAGTGGTGATGGTGGTGATGGTGGTGGTGATGATGGTAGTGATGGTGGTGATGATAGTGGTGATGGTGGTGATGGTGGTGATGGTGGTGGTGGTGATGATGGTGGTGATGGTGGTGATGATAGTGGTGATGGTGGTGATGGTGGTGATGATGGTAGTGGTGGTGATGATGATGGTGGTGATGGTGGTGGTGATGGTGGTGATGGTGGTGGTGATGGTGGTGGTGGTGATGGTGATGGTGGTGATGGTGGTGATGGTGGTGGTGGTGATGATGGTGGTGATGGTGGTGGTGATGGTGGTGATGATGGTGGTGATGGTGGTGATGATAGTGGTGATGGTGGTGATGGTGGTGATGGTGATGGTGGTGGTGATGGTGATGATGATGATGATGGTGGTGGTGGTGATGGTGGTGGTGATGGTGGTGGTGATGGTGGTGATGGTGGTGATTGTGATGGTGATGTTGATGATGTTGATGATGTAGGTGATGTTGATGATGGTGATGGTGGTGGTGATGGTGATGTTGATGTTGATGATGTTGATGATGTTGATGATGTTGGTGATGGTGGTGGCGGTGATGGTCCAGGTGGTGTCAACCGACTTCAATGGCGACACTCGCTCCTCCATCTTCGACGCTGGTGCCGGCATCGCCCTGAATGACCACTTCGTCAAACTCGTCACCTGGTACATCATCAACATCAACATCATCATCAACATCATCATCATCATCATCAACATCATCATCAACATCAGCAGCAGCAGCAGCATCATCATCAACATCATCATCAACATCAACATCATCATCAACATCATCATCAACATCAGCAGCAGCATCATCATCAACATCATCATCATCAACATCATCATCAACATCATCGTCATCATCAACATCATCAACATCATCATCATCATCAACATCATCACCACCACCACCACCATCACCACCATCACCACCACCATCACCACCACCACCACCACCATCACCACCACCACCATCACCACCAACACCATCACCACCACCACCATCACCACCACTACCACCACCACCATCACCACCATCACCACCACCATCACCACCATCACCACCACCACCACACTCACCATCACCACCACCACCACCATCACCACCACCACCACCATCATCACCATCACCACCACCATCACCACCACCACCACCACCATCACCACCACCACCACGACTACCACCATCACCACCAAAACCACCACCATCACCACCACCATCACCACCACTACCACCACCACCATCACCACCACCATCACCACCACCATCACCACCACCATCACCACCACTACCACCACTACCACCACCACCATCACCACCATCACCACCACCACCATCACCACCATCACCACCACCACCACACTCACCATCACCACCACCACCACCAACACCACCACCACCATCACCACCACCACCATCACCACCACCACCATCACCACCACCATCACCAACACCACCACCACCATCATCACCACCACCACCATCACCACCACCACCACCACCATCACCACCACCATCACCACCACCACCACCATCACCACCACCATCACCACCAACACCATCACCACCACCACCATCACCACCACTACCACCACCACCATCACCACCATCACCACCACCATCACCACCATCACCACCACCACCACCACACTCACCATCACCACCACCACCACCATCATCACCATCACCACCAACACCATCACCACCACCATCACCACCACCACCACCACCATCACCACCACCACCACGACTACCACCATCACCACCAAAACCACCACCATCACCACCACCATCACCACCACTACCACCACCACCACCACCATCACCACCACCATCACCACCACCATCACCACCACTACCACCACCACCATCACCACCATCACCACCACCACCACACTCACCATCACCACCACCACCACCACCACCATCACCACCACCACCACCACACTCACCATCACCACCACCGTGTATCACTCTCCCTCCCACGTGTCTCCCCCCTCCACCACAGGTACGACAATGAGTTCGGCTACAGTAACCGCGTGGTTGACCTCGTGCTGTACATGGTGAGCAAGGACAAGTGAGGAGAGCCACCTCGGGATCAACCCTCACCACCCCCTCACCCCTCCACTCCCCCCTCACCAGCTGTGGATGCTCACCCGATCGCTCGCACACTCACTCACTCGCTCACCCACTCACCAACACACTCACTCACCCACTCGTACACCCACCATGGACACTCGCTCACACACTCACCCAACTCACTCCACACACTCACCCACTGACACACTCACCCACTGACACACTCACCGACTCACTCACTCACCCACTCACTCACTCACCCACTCACCCACTCGCACACTCACCGACTCACTCACACACTCACCCACTGATACACTCACCCACTCACTCACCGACTCACTCACCCACTCACTCACCCACTCACTCACCCAATCACCCACTCATACACTCACTCACTCACTCACCCAATCACCCACTCACCCACTCACACATTCACCCACTCACTCACACACTCACCCACTGACACACTCACCCACTCACTCACTCACCCACTGACACACTCACCGACCCACTCACTCGTACACTCACTCACCCACCCACTCACCCAATCTCACATTCACCCATTCACTCACTCACCCACTCACTCACACACTCACCCACTCACTCACTCACCCACTCACTCACCCACTCGCACATTCACCCATTCACTCACACACTCACACACCCGGGTCTGTGTGTGTACGTGTGTGTGTGTGTGTGACACACGGGGAGGAGGTGGTGGTCGTGGTTTGTTGGACACCACGTGGGGGTTGCTGTGATGAATAAACGGTGAACATGAAAACGAGCAGTGGCCGAGCAATTGAACGAGCGAGGGAGCGAGTGAATGAGCGAGTGAACGAGTGAGTGAACGAGCGAGGGAGCGAGTGAATGAGCGAGCGAGCGAGTGAGCGAGGGAGTGAGTGAATGAGCGAGTGAACGAGCGAGGGAGTGAGGGAGCGAGTGAACGAGTGAGTGAACGAGTGAGTGAGCGAGTGAATGGATGAGCAAGTGAGTGAATGAGCGAGGGAGTGAGTGAATGAGCGAGGGAGTGAGTGAACTAGCGAGTGGCCGAGCAAGTGAACGAGCGAGGGAGCGAGGGAGTGGATGAGCACGTGAGTGAATGAGCGAGGGAGTGAGTGAATGAGCGAGGGAGTGAGCGAATGAGCGAGGGAGTGAGTGAATGAGCGAGTGAGGGAGCGAGGGAGGGAGCGAGGGAGTGAGTGAACGAGTGGGGGAGTGAGTGAATGGATGAGCAAGTGAGTGAATGAGCGAGTGAACGAGTGAGTGAACGAGTGAGTGAGCGAGGGAGTGAGTGAATGGATGAGCAAGTGAGTGAATGAGCGAGTGAGTGAGTGAATGAGCGAGGGAGTGAGGGAGTGGATGAGCAAGTGAGTGAATGAGCGAGGGAGTGAGTGAACTAGCGAGGGAGTTAGTGAATGAGCGAGTGAACGAGTGAGTGAACGAGTGAGTGAGCGAGGGAGCGGATGAGCAAGTGAGTGAATGAGCGAGGGAGTGAGTGAATGAGCGAGGGAGTGAGTGAATGAGCGAGTGAACGAGCGAGGGAGTGAGCGAGGGAGTGAGCGAGCGAGAGAACGAGGGAGGGAACAAGTGAGCGAGGGAGCGAGGGAGTGGATGAGCAAGTGAGTGAATGAGCGAGGGAGTGAGTGAACGAGGAAGTGAACGAGTGAGTGAACGAGGGAGTGGATGAGCAAGTGAGTGAGTGCGCGAGCGAGTGAACGAGTGAGTGAACGAGCGAGTGAATGAGGGAGTGAGTGAACGAGTGAGTGAACGGGCGAGTGAGTGAGCGAGTGAGCGAGGGAGTAAGTGAACGAGCGAGTGAGTGAGTAAGTGAACGAGTAAGTGAACGAGCGAGTAAGTGAGCGAGTGAGCGAGCGAGGGAGTGAGCGAATGAGTGAGTGAGGGAGCGAGTGAGGGAGCGAGTGAACCAGCGAGTGAGTGAACGGGTGAGGGAGTGAGTGAACGAGTAAGTGAACGAGCGAGGTAGTAAGTGAACGAGCGAGTGAACGAGTGAATGAATGAGTGAGGGAGCGAGTGAGTGAGGGATCGAGTGAACGAGGAAGTGAACGAGTGAACGAGCGAGTGAGTGAACGAGATAGTAAGTGAACGAGCGAGTGAGCGAGGGAGTGAGTGAGTGAGTGAACGAGCGAGTGAACGAGCGAGTGAAGGAGCGAGTGAATGAGGGATTGAACGAGTGAGCGAGGGAGTGAGTGAACGAGTAAGTGAATGAGCGAGTGAGCGAGGGAGTGAACGAGCGAGGGAGTGAGTGAACGAGCGAGGGAGTGAATGAACGAGCGAGGGAGTGAGTGAACGAGCGAGTGAACGAGTGAGGGAGCGAGGGAGTGGATGAGCAAGTGAGTGAATGAGCGAGGGAGTGAACGAGGGAGTGAGTGAGCGAGTGAGTGAGCGAGGGAGCGGATGAGCAAGTGAGTGAATGAGCGAGGGAGTGAGTGAATGAGCGAAGGAGTGAGTGAATGAGCAGGGGAGTGAGTGAACGAGCGAGTGAACGAGTGAGGGAGCGAGGGAGCAGATGAGCAAGTGAGTGAATGAGCGAGGGAGTGAGTGAACGAGCGAGTGAACGAGTGAGTGAGCGAGGCAGCAGATGAGCAAGTGAGTGAATGAGCGAGGGAGTGAGTGAACGAGCGAGTGAATGAGGGAGTGAGTGAGCAAGCGAGTCAACGGGCAAGTGAGCGAGGGAGTAAGTGAGCGAGTGAGCGAGCGAGGGAGTGAGTGAATGAGTGAGTGAGGGAGCGAGTGAACGAGGGAGTGAACGAGCGAGTGAGTGAACGAGATAGTAAGTGAACGAGCGAGTGAGCGAGGGAGTGAACGAGCGAGTAAGTGAGCGAGTGAGCGAGCGAGGGAGTGAGTGAATGAGTGAGTGAGGGAGCGAGTGAACGAGGGCATGAACGAGTGAACGAGCGAGTGAGTGAACGAGATAGTAAGTGAACGAGCAAGTGAGCGAGGGAGTGAACGAGGGAGTGAGGGAGCGAGTGAACCAGCGAGTGAGTGAACGGGTGAGTGAGGGAGTGAGTGAACGAGTAAGTGAACGAGCGAGGTAGTAAGTGAACGAGCGAGTGAACGAGTGAGCGAGGGAGTGAGTGAATGAGTGAGTGAGGGAGCGAGTGAACGAGGGAGTGAACGAGTGAACGAGCGAGTGAGTGAACGAGATAGTAAGTGAACGAGCGAGTGAGCGAGGGAGTGAACGAGCGAGTGAGGGAGCGAGTGAACGAGCGAGTGAATGAGGGATTGAACGAGTGAGCGAGGGAGTGAGTGAACGAGTAAGTGAACGAGCGAGTGAGCGAGGGAGTAAGTGAACGAGCGAGTGAGCGAGGTAGTGAGTGAACGAGCGAGTGAGCGAGGGAGTGAGTGAATGAGGAATTGAACGAGCAGGTGAAGTAGGGATTGAACGAGCGGGTGAACGATTGAGTGAGCGAGCGAGTGAATGAGCGGGTGAACGAGCGGGGGAACGAGCGGGTGAACGAGCGGGTGAGCGGGTGAACGAGTGAGTGAACGATTGAGTGAGCGAGCGAGTGAACGAGCGGGTGAACGAGCGGGTGAACGAGCGGGTGAACGAGGGATTGAGTGAACGAGTGAGTGAGTGAACAATTGAGTGAGCGAGCGAACGAGAGGGTGAACGAGGGATTGAACGAGTGAGTGAGTGAATGATTGAGTGAGCCAGTGAGCGAGCGAGTGAACGAGCGGGGGAACGAGTGGGTGAACGAGCGGGTGAACGAGCAAGCGGGTGAACGAGTGAATGAGTGAGTGAACGATTGAGTGACCGAGCGAGTGAACGAGCGGGTGAACGAGCGGGTCAACGAGGGATTGAGTGAACGAGTGAATGAGTGAACGATTGAGTGAGCGAGTGAACGAGCGGGTGAACGAGCGGGTGAACGAGGGATTGAACGAGCGAGTGAGTGAACGATTGAGTGAGCAAGCGAACGAGCAGGTGAACAACCGGGTGAACGAGGGATTGAACGAGCGAGTGAGTGAACGATTGAGTGAACGAGCGGCTGAACGAGCGAGTGAACGAGCGGGTAAGCGAGGGATTGAGTGAACAAGTGAGTGGGTGAACGAGTGAGTGAACGATTGAGTGAGCGAGTGAACGAGCGGGTGAACGAGGGATTGAACGAGCGAGTGAGTGAACGATTGAGTGAGCGAGCGAGTGAACGAGCGGGTGAACGAGCGGGTGAACGAGCGAGTGAGTGAACGAGTGAGTGAGCGAGTGAGTGAGCGAGCGAGTGAACGAGGGATTGAACGAGCGGGTGAGTGAGCGAGTGAGCGAGTGAGCGTGGGGCCTGCTCACCGCTCGCCAGAGGCAAACGACCCCCCCAGTGGGGGAGCCTCTACAGACCGCCGGGGCCAACTGCCACTGCTGCCAACTGCCAACTGCTGCCAACTGCTGCCAACTGCCACTGCTGCCAACTGCTGCCAATTGCCACTGCTGCCAACTGCCAACTGCTGCCAACTGCCACTGCTGCCAACTGCTGCCAACTGCTGCCAACTGCCACTGCCGCCAACTGCCACTGCTGCCAACTGCTGCCAACTGCCAACTGCTGCCAACTGCCACTGCTGCCAACTGCCACTGCTGCCAACTGCTGCCAACTGCCACAGCTGCCACTGCTGCCAACTGCCACTGCTGCCAACTGCTGCCAACAGCTGCCAACTGCCACTGCTGCCAACTGCTGCCAACAGCTGCCAACTGCCACTGCTGCCAACTGCCACTGCTGCCAACTGCTGCCAACTGCCACTGCTGCCAACTGCTGCCAACTGCTGCCAACTGCCACTGCTGCCAACTGCTGCCAACTGCCACTGCTGCCAACTGCCACTGCTGCCAACTGCTGCCAACTGCTGCCAACTCCTACCAACTGCCACTGCCGCCAACTGCCACTGCTGCCAACTGCCACTGCCACCAACTGCCACTGCTGCCAACTGCCACTGCTGCCAACAGCTGCCAACTGCCACAGCTGCCAACTGCCAAAGCTGCCAACTGCCACTGCTGCCCACTGCCACCAACTGCCAACTGCTGCCAACTGCTGCCAACTGCCAACTGCTACCAACTGCCACTGCTGCCAACTGCCAACTGCTACCAACTGTCACTGCTGCCAACTGCCAACTGCTACCAACTGCCACTGCTGCCAACTGCTGCCAACTGCCACTGCTGCCAATTGCCACTGCTGCCAACTGCTGCCCACTGCCACCAACTGCCACCAACTGCCACTGCTGCCAACTGCTGCCAACTGCTGCCCACTGCCACCAACTGCCAACTGCTGCCAACTGCTGCCAACTGCCACTGCTGCCAACTGCTGCCAACTGCCACTGCTGCCAACTGCCACTGCTGCCAACTGCCACTGCTGCCAACTGCTGCCAACTGCGACTGCTGCCAACTGCTGCCAACTGCCAACTGCTGCCAACTGCTGCCAACAGCTGCCAACTGCCACTGCTGCCAACTGCCAACTGCTGCCAACTGCCACTGCTGCCAACTGCCAACTGCTGCCAACAGCTGCCAACTGCCACTGCTGCCAACTGAAGGAGGCTACTTGTGTTGTGGCCGAAACCCCGCCCCCCTCCCCTCGTCACAAATCTCTGACCCCGCCCCCCCCCCCCCCCCCTTAGGTGCGTGACGTCATTTAGGGACGGCCCCTGATTGGTGGCGGATTTTAAGGACGATCTGAACCCCAAAAATGAACCTTCATTATTGATATTGGTTGGCAATATCTGCAACCTATTGAAAAAGAGGTCGCGTTGTTCGTGAGCCATAGAAAATGTATTTTATTTAAAGCAACACGCTCCATCATCAGCAGCAGCATCATCATTATAATCATTAACAGTAGCATTAATTGATCTTATAAACATCGTCGAAACGTAACGGCCATCAAACAACCATCATCACCACCACAACAATAACATATCACTGTCACCGTCATCATCACAGCATCATCACAATTACCACCACCACCATCACAACCATCACCACCATCACAACCATCACCAGCACCACCATCACAATCTCCACCATTACAACCATCATCATCACCCCCAGCACCACCATCATCACAGCCATCACCATCATCATCACAATCTCCACCAACAACACCACCATCATCACAATCTCCACCATTAACACCACCACCATCATCACAATCTCCACCATCACCACCACCATCATCACAATCTCCACCATCAACACCACCACCACCATCATCACAATCTCCACCATCAACACCACCACCACCATCATCATTTACAACACCACCATCATCACAATCTCCACCATCATCACAATCTCCACCAGCAACACCACCACCATCAACACCACCACCACCACCATCATCACAATCTCCACCATCAACACCACCATCACAATCTCCACCATCACCACCATCATCATCACAATCTCCACCATCATCACCACCACCACCATCATCACAATCTCCACCATCAACACCACAATCTCCACCATCAACAACACCACCATCATTTACAACACCAACACCACCACCATCACCACAGCAGCTCAGCTCTGAAACCTCCTAAATCGGTTGATCTGCGGCTCACTAACAGCACTTAGGATTCGTCGATTATATAACAAAGTGATAATAATGATGATTATAATAATTCTCATCACTTGAATCATTTCTAAAGCGCGCCCGTGCCGTGTGGGAGACAAAGGCGGCCGGGAATGACGCTGCCGTGCCGATAGCCGTCGATGGCAGTGCCACCACCACCGCAGCACTTGCCCCTACAGCCTGCGAGAGGCTACACGGGGGAGCTTTGCCTGTGTGTCTGTGTGTACGTGTGTGTGTCAGTGTGTACGTGTGTCTGTCAGTGTGTACGTGTGTGTGTCTGTCAGTGTGTACGTGTCTGTGTGTACGTGTGTGTCTGTGTGTACGTGTGTGTGTCTGTGTGTGTGTCTGTGTGTGTGTACGTGTCTGTGTGTGTGTACGTGTGTCTGTGTGTGTGTACGTTTGTGTGTGTCTGTGTGTACGTGTGTCTGTGTGTGTGTACGTGTGTGTGTCTGTGTGTACGTGTGTCTGTGTCTGTACGTGTGTGTCTGTGTGTACGTGTCTACGTGTGTCTGTGTGTACGTGTGTGTGTACGTGTGTGTCTGTGTGTACGTGTGTGTGTACGTGTGTGTGTGTGTACGTGTGTCTGTGTGTACGTGTCTGTGTGTGTGTGTACGTGTGTGTGTCTGTGTGTGTCCGTGTGTACGTGTGTGTGTGCGTGCACAGTGACAGCGATTATCTGAGCCGGTCCTGGGCCTCCCCTAGGTCGACTCAGCCTCAAATGAGTGACCTGGTGTAGCGGTGGTGGTGGTGTAGTAGTGGTGGTGGTGTAGCGGTGGTGGTGGTGTGGTGGTGGTGTAGCGGTGGTGGTGGTGTAGTAGTGGTGGTGGTGTAGCGGTGGTGGTGGTGTGGTGGTGGTGGTGTAGTGGTGGTGGTGTAGTGGTGGTGGTGTAGTGGTGGTGGTGTGGTGAACATCGCTAGCACTGGAGGAGAGACAAAGGCGGCCGGGCGTGGTGCTGCTGTGCCACCCACCCCCTCTGTGTGTGACCCACAGAGCCCCGGTAGCCTTCATAGACCCTGCTACTCGCTAGCACAGCACTTGCCCCTACAGCCTGTTACAGGCTACACGGGGGAGCTTTGTCTTTGTGGACGTTCAAACTTCACGGCGAAGGTGACAACCCTAGCCCCGCCCCCCACGCCCCGACCCTACTACCCTCCCAGCCCCGCCCCTACCCCCGCAGCCCCGCCCCTACTACCACCCCACGCCCCGCCCCTACTAACCCCCCAGCCCCTACCACCGCCCCACGCCCCGCCCCTACCACCCCCACGCCCCGCCCCTACCCCCCAGCCCCGCCCCTACCACCCCCCACGCCCCGCCCCTACCCCCCAACCCCGCCCCTACCACCCCCCCAGCCCCGCCCCCCCTGATCCCCCCCCCCCCAAAAACAAACAAAAGTTTTGATATTCAACAACAAACAACAACAACTAAGTTGTGGCTTTGTTGTTGTAGTTGTTGTGATTGTTGTTTGTTGTTGTTGTTTGTTGTTTTTTATTGTTGTTTGTTGTTGTTGTTTATTGTTGTTGTTTATTGTTGTTGTTGTTTTTTTATTGTTGTTGTTTGTTGTTGTTTATTGTTGTTGTTTATTGTTGTTGTTGTTTTTTTATTGTTGTTGTTTGTTGTTGTTTATTGTTGTTGTTGTTTTTTTGTTGTTGTTTATTGTTGTTTGTTGTTTATTGTTGTTGTTTATTGTTGTTGTTGTTTTTTATTGTTGTTGTTGTTTATTGTTGTTGTTTTTTATTGTTGTTGTTTGTTGTTGTTTATTGTTGTTGTTTGTTGTTGTTGTGGTTGTTTGTTGTTGTTATTGTTGTGGTTGTTTGTGTTGTTGTTTGTGTTGTTGTTTGTGTTGTTGTTGTTTGTGTTGTTGTTGATGTTGTTGTTGTTGTTGTGGTTGTTGTGGTTGTTGATGTTGTTGATGTTGTGGTTGTTGTTGTTGTTGATGTTGTGGTTGTTGTTTATTGTGATTGTGTTTGTTGTTGTTGTGGTTTGTTGTTGTTGTTGTTGAATGGCTGTCGATCAGTACTGCGGGGAGGGGGCCAGAGTGGTGGGGGGGGCAAATTGGTGGGGGGGGGCAAATTGGTGGGGGGGGGCAAATTGGTGGGGGGAGCCTGAAGCAGCCAGGGGAGGTGGGGGGCTGCCCCCCAGGAGGTGGGGGGCATCGGAGTCAGCGATGGGCTCATAGTCAGCACGCCTCGTGGGGGGAGAGAGGCCTGGGGGGAGGGGGGAAGAGGGGGAGGGGGGGGGGGGGGGAGGGGAGGGGCGGGGGGGGGGAGGGGCGGGGGGGAGAGGGGCGGGGGGAGAGGGGGAGGGGCGGGGGGAGAGATTGGCAAATGTCTCACCAGATGACAAGATCAGCCACTCAGCCACTCACTCAGCCACTCACTCACTCAGTCACTCAGTCACTCACTCACTCAGTCACTCAGTTACTCACTCAGCCACTCAGCCACTCATTCACTCAGCCACTCACTCACTCGCTCACTCAGTCACTCAGCCACTCACTCACTCAGTCACTCACTCGCTCATCCACTCGCTCACTCATTCAGTCACTCACTCAGTCACTCACTCAGCCACTCACTCAGTCACTCAGTCACTCACTCACTCGCTCATCCACTCGCTCACTCACTCAGTCACTCACTCAGTCACTCACTCACTCATCCACTCACTCACTCACTCAGCCACTCACTCACTCAGTCACTCACTCATCCACTCAGCCACTCACTCACTCAGTCACTCACTCATCCACTCACTCAGTCACTCAGCCACTCACTCACTCAGTCACTCACTCATCCACTCATCTACTCGCTCACTCACTCAGTCACTCACTCAGTCACTCACTCAGCCACTCACTCACTCGCTCATCCACTCGCTCACTCACTCAGTCACTCACTCACTCAGTCACTCACTCATCCACTCACTCAGTCACTCAGCCACTCACTCACTCAGTCACTCACTCATCCACTCACTCGCTCATCCACTCGCTCACTCACTCAGTCACTCACTCAGCCACTCACTCACTCAGTCACTCAGTTACTCACTCAGCCACTCACTCGCTCAGTCACTCACTCAGCCACTCACTCACTCAGTCACTCACTCAGTCACTCAGTTACTCACTCAGCCACTCACTCAGTCACTCACTCATCCACTCACTCAGTCACTCAGCCACTCACTCACTCAGTCACTCACTCATCCACTCACTCGCTCATCCACTCGCTCACTCACTCAGTCACTCACTCACTCAGCCACTCACTCGCTCATCCACTCGCTCACTCACTCAGCCACTCACTCACTCAGTCACTACGTTACTCACTCAGCCACTCACTCGCTCATCCACTCGCTCACTCACTCAGTCACTCACTCAGCCACTCACTCACTCAGTCACTCAGTTACTCACTCAGCCACTCACTCGCTCATCCACTTGCTCACTCACTCAGTCACTCACTCAGCCACTCACTCAGTCACTCAGTTACTCACTCAGCCACTCACTCGCTCATCCACTCGCTCACTCACTCAGTCACTCACTCAGCCACTCACTCAGTCACTCAGCCACTCACTCACTCAGTCACTCAGTTACTCACTCAGCCACTCACTCACTCGCTCAGCCACTCACTCACTCGCTCACTCAGCCACTCACTCACTCACTCAGCCACTCAGCCACTCACTCGCTCACTCACTCAGCCACTCACTCACTCAGCCACTCACTTACTCACTCACTCAGTCACTCACTCGCTCGTTCACTCGGCCACTCACTCGCTCACTCACTCAGCCACTCACTTACTCGCTCACTCACTCACTCAGTCACTCATTCAGCCACTCATTCACTCACTCAGCCACTCAATCACTCAGCCACTCACTCATTCGGCCACTCACTCACTCAGCCACTCACTCGGCCACTCACTCACTCAGTCACTCATTCAGCCACTCATTCACTCACTCAGCCACTCACTCATTCGGCCACTCACTCATTCAGTCACTCAATCAATCGGCCACTCACTCACTCGGCCACTCACTCACTCATCCACTCACTCAGCCACTCACTCACTCAACTACTCACTCATTCAGCCACTCACTCACTCAGCCACTCACTCAGCCACTCACTCACTCAACTACTCACTCATTCAGCAACTCACTCACTCAGCCACTCACTCAGCCACTCACTCATCAACTCACTCAATCAGCCACTCACTCACTCAGGCACTCACTCGCTCACTCAGTCACTCACTTACTCAACTACTCACTCACTCAGCCACTCACTCACTCAGTCACTCACTTGCTCACTCACTCAGTCGCTCACTCACTCGGCCACTCACTCACTTGCTCACTCGCTCACTCAGCCACTCACTCAGCCGCTCACTCACTCGGCCACTCACTCGCTCACTCACTCAGTCACTCACTCAGCCACTCAGTCACTCACTCAGTCACTCAGCCACTCACTCAGTCGCTCACTCAGCCACTCACTCAGCCAATCGCTCACTCAGCCACTCGCTCACTAACTAGGCCACTCACTCAGCCACTCACTAATTCACTCGGCCACTCATTTAGTCAGTCACTCACACACACCTTTACACGTACACACGTACACACACACACA